CCACCACCCTCGACCTGTTGGCTATGATTCTTCTTCCCATGCAGTCCAGGATACGGTTGGTCTTCTGGGCTGTGAGTGCACACTGCCAGCTCATATGTAGCTTTTCATCCACCAGTACCTCCAAGTCCTTCTCTGCAGGGCTGCTCTCAATCCCTTCATCCCCCAGCCTGCATTGATATCAGGGATTGCCCCAAACCCAGGTGCAGGATCTTGAACTTCGCCTTGTTGAACCTAATGAGGTTCACACAGGCCAAGTTCTCAAGCTTGTCCAGGACCCTCTGGATGGCATCCTGTCCACTCAGGTGTGTCAATTGCACCACTTAGCTTGCTGTTGTCAGCAAGCAGGTTTGTTTTGGGTTGTTTTTGTTGGGTTTTTAAAATTTTGTTTGTTGTTTTTCCTGCTCTAATGATTCAGGACTTTGCATCCTTTAACATAAACTCTGCTTTCCAAAATTGCAAGACAGGCTCCTCTTCAATCTACTGCATATATACTCTTTCTATACTCCAAAGAACTTAAATCATTAGACAAGAGTCTAGCCCTCTAAAAAAAAAAACAACCCCAAAAACAAAAAACCCCATGATGAGCAGAGAAGACTCAATGTTTTCTTTTATCATCCGCTTTTCCTCTTGTACTGGGGGTTACAACAAAACAAGGAAGAAAGTACATACAAAACTTTTTCACTCACTTAAAAAAACCCCCACCAACTAAAAAACAACCCACAAAAAAAAACCCCAAATCCTATAAAAACTCATCAACCAAACAGGATGACACACTCATTGATTCTAACCATATATAGCTGGAAGAGACATGTTGGCTGGTGTAATTTGTTTGGAGACATAATGTTGGGAGCTGGACTCACTTTTGTGCCCTAGAGATCTTTCATGCTGTAATCCTCATGCAATATCAGGAAAAGGAGAGAGGAAAGATTGTCAGAAGAAGAAAAAATTTTGAAAATAAGTATTTTTGCTCCAATACAAGAGACTGTGCTTTCACTTCTTCTGTTTTGCCCCAGAATGCCTGATTTCTGGATGACTATCAAAATTCCTCTAGTTCTTAAGACAGTTACATATAAAATTTCAAAATATAAAGATAAAATAAGCATCTCATGCATATCAATAGGTGGGCACATTTGTGCTGTAAACAAATGTTAATCATACAGGCAAAGGAGGTGGAGATGAGCTTAAGTTTGCAAAATAGTTACTGCTTGAAGAAGCATTGGTGAAAGAGCATGAGAAAATCCTTTCTTAGATACGTTATCACAGAGGTGTCATCGGTGTTGCTGATGTGCCCAGTTTTGGCCAGTGATGAGTCTATTGTAGCTGTTTGGAACTGGCTGTCGCTGACATCAGGCAGCTCCTTGTCCTTGTCAGAGGCCACCCTTGTGGTCCTCTGCTGCCAGCACGTTGCTTGTCTACCCCCCAGTAGACCAGAAGAAACATCCTGGGAATTTTTGTTCCTAGTTTCTGCCTTTTCTTTAAAAATTGCTTCCAAATGTCCCCACAGCAGAAATTAATTTTTCTAGCCAGCTTTACCTGCTACTCACACCAAGAAATACCAGTATTTTGGACCTCTGTAGTCCGATTTACCTCTGCTAAATTGTTACAACCAAAAGTGTAATTTTACATTTGGTGTGAGCCTATGCTTACGTTCTTAAGTTTGCCTTATATCCACATAGTCTGGACAGCAAAAATTTAGACAAAAAAATTGAAAAATATTCTGTAATAACTGATTTTGAACAGATTTAAATATTCATCATTTCCCAAACAACTCGCATCTGTTGACTGAAGTGATTTAAATTCAACTGGTGCAATTACTGTACATTATCATACTCCAAATACCACCGGGGGAACCTGTGCAGTATTGCAGAAAGGCAGTAAGGTTTAAAAGTCTGCCTACAAACTGGAGGCTGGCTTAGCTGATGCTATCAAGAAACTGAAATCTGACATTTGGGAAAATGTTGCAGTGCAGACACTGAATTAGGTAGGTAGCAGTGAAAAGATTTGAATAAAGGCTTGACATCTTGGGTAAGTCTGATTTACACTGTCAGTATGCTACAAGTGACAGTTAATAATTAATCCTTCATCTCTTCTCTCATATTTATATGAAAGATGTCTTATTCTTTGTTTGGTGGTTTGTTGGTTTGGGGTTTTTTTTAATAGACTAAACTACCTTGACATCACTAGTTGTTGCAAAACCAATGCTTTGGTTCTCCTGCCAAATTCATAGAATCATAGAATGGTCTGGGTTGGAAGGGACCTTAAAGATCATCTAGTTCCAACCTCCCTGCCATGAGCAGGGACACCTTCCACTAGACCAGGTTGCTCAAAGCCTCATCCAGCCTGGCCTTAAACACTTCCAGGGAGGGGGCATCCACAACTTCTCTGGGCAACCTGTTCCAGTGTCTCACCACTCCCACAGTCAGGAATTTATTCCTAATATCTAATCTAAACCTTCCCTCTTTCAGTTTAAATCCATTTCCCCTTGTTTTGTCATTAACTGCCCTTATGAAAAGTCCCTCCCCAGCTTTCTTGGAGCCCCTTCAGGTACTGGAAGGCCGCTATAAGGTCTCCCTGGAGCCTTCTCTTTTCCAGGCTGAACAGCCCCAACTCTTTCAGCCTGTCTTCATAGCAGAGGTGCTCCAGCCCTCGGATCATCCTTGTGGCCTCCTCTGGACTTGTTCTAACTGGCCCACGTACAGCCCTTCATCCACGTCAAGCCTGCTGTATGACTAACACTAGAATTCAAATCAATATCCAGCATAAAGTATAAACCAAAAGCAACTGGCCCATCTGGTACAGCTTCTGGCCAAACTCCAGCTTGACTCGACAGAGATCACCTTGTTCTACAGCAGCAGGCACACAGAGCTGTCTGTATGGGGTCCTACTTGCCACAGACTTCAGGGACTATTTAGGGGCTGGTCAGCCAGCAACCTACCCTGCTGCAGGAGCTGTCAGCCTGCTCTCCTTTCCCAACTTGGTATGCCTGACTGCAAGCATTTCCCCTCATCAAATATATGATTATTGTGATTGCCAAAATGTATCCATTAAGAGTGTGTTAAAATGGTTTCATGAAATATTCTAGAAGTAATTACCACTATTATACATATAATCATTCTTCGTTCAATTATGTTTGAAAATCTCAAAGCTTATCTATTCATAAGGCACAATGAATGAGGAAGAAGCAAGATGTATAATAGCAAAAGTAATTTCTATTTATTCTATATAGCCTGTTGTAATGCCTAGCATGTGTATACAGGACTATAATTTTCTTTTTGAATTAGTTCATAACATTAGCAAAGTATTTATTTTTTTTTAACAGAGTCTTGAAAGTTTGTTATGGATTTTGCCTTAGAGGAAATTAAATTCTTCTTTAATTCAATATTATGAAAGGGAGAACAACAACAATATGCTGCATCCCTGTTGTTTCAACATCTTCAAAAAAATCCAGTAAACACTGCAAAAACTGTAAAGCTTGAACAGCATTTATAAACTGTACTTGTGTTCTGAGGCCATAAATGGTAAACAATTATATCTTATCTTTAACCAAAGACAGTTCTAATCTGAAGTTTACTGAAAACAACTGATAAATGACAAAGGGAGGAAAAAGCTTTCCATTCTAAGCATTTACTTCAACAGGCAGCTGATGAGCACAAGACCAGAACTCGGAGCTGATGTGCAGCATACATAAACACAGATCGTCTGTATCCTCATCTGAATCATAATGGAGAAAAGCAGCTCATCCTGACAGAAGTCTAGGATGGTGTCCAGTGCCTCCATTTCAAGTACATCACTTTTAGGAATTAAATGTCTGATAGATAAAATAAGAGACAAAAAAAATTTTTTTTTTTTTTTTTTAACCTACTGCACACAGCAGCATTTTAGTGCACTTTAAAAGCAATAAAAAGCATGATACTTGCCTCTAAAACTAAGATAAGAATTTGTTTAGTCTGTTGTGTGCTTCTTTGACTATAGATGGTACAGTGGTCCACTGTAATATGCATATATTATATGGTGGTGACGGGGTGATAGAAATTTTGCCAGCATGAGTTTGGAACAGTCATATTGCTTGTGAGCACAGAAGCCAAAAAAAAGACAGAATGGTACATCTAAAGTATCAGAGCAGAATTAAACCTCAGCACCTTTAAGCCTAGCTAGCTAACACCAATCAGATTATTGATATGCCAATTGATTCACAGTTGATTATTGTCTGGCCCAGATTCCTAAGAATAATATAGTAGACAGGAGACTTCACATTTGAGAGAAAGCTCTCTGAGGAAAGCTACCTAAGCTTCCAAGGCTCTGAGACACTTCAAGAACTTCATGGAACAACATAAATCTCTCGTTCTTAACAAATAAACAAAGAAGATTAGAAGAGTCAGTGTATCCCTTAGGATGCCAAATATTTGGAATGAAAAAACAGTCGAAATATATTCTTTTTTAAGGAATATTTTCTGAAAGCTAACAAAAGGATCTAGACCAGGAAAACAGTACTCACCAAAATGTCCCTTTGTCCCTGCTTTCTATATCTATGAACCCAGATTCCAAAAACATGTCCTTGTAAATTCGACCAACCAGGCAGTACATATCTGAAGCTACTTGGTCTTCCCGTTCTACCAAGGGAATCATAATTTCTAGAGCCTTCTGTCTGTCTCCAGGTAGATTTCGCCTATTAAAAAAATAAAAGTCTTGATTAAAAAGATCCAATAAAGTTAAGAAATACATTTTCATGACCATGTTTGAATAGATCTGTATGACTTCATTCATGTAAAATGTGCTTCTAGACACAATGGACCAGAATATATATACACACTCCCCCCCCCGCCACTTCTTCCTTTTTTTTAAAAACAAAACAAAAAACAACTTTCCTTAATATCATGGGACACCTTTATAAAAGCCCCCAGACATGTTTTCTCTCTCTCATGAAGCTTCAGCTAAAGCAAAGCACTGACCACAGCAACAAGAGCCTCAAAAGGAATTCTTAGAAAGATCATTTGTTACCTTCTTACAAAGTAGAAAGATATGAAACTAGGTTTCCTATCTAATATTTTTTATAGTAATTCATGCTTTAAAGGAAAAAAAAAATTCCATCTTGTGTTTGTGATTTTCTTTTTAATTTTATATACACATTTTGAATGTGAAGAAAAAACAAAAAAACCCCAAACAAACAAACCAACCCCCCAAACCCCCCTGACAAACCAGACTGAATTCCCACGACAGGGAAGGTTAGGAAGCGAAGCCAATAAGGCAATATTAACAAAAGTACTTCAGACAAGCAAACCACATAATTGCAAGCATTAGACACTTCCACAGTTTCGATATATACATCATTCAGTATCAAGAGTTTAGAGTTGTTTTACATATTTGCCTACTGAACAAGCAAATTACTCCTTTCTCAGCAAAAACTACTCTTTGGAGGTTTGGGGAGAGTATTGCATTATTTCGGAGAAACTGCTTGTAATATTTGAGTTGCTACAACTTGAATTGGGGGAAATATAAAAAGTATTTATTTTTTTTAAAATCTGTCTTGCAAGCTTTGCATTGAAGAAGGTAGACAAACTAGAGCTCCGATTTAGGAACCGAAACAAAAGAAATGATGCCAACTTCTGGAAAGACAAATTCAGACATTCATGCTTAAAGGAAGAGAAATGGGATTTGACAGTGTGGAAGCTAAAGAAAGCTTAGATTGATCAAGAAGCTCAGAGTCCCCAAAGTTGCTTCAGTAAAGACCCTAGACCTGCGTATGAATATTCCAGTAGGGAACTTCACACAAGGCTGGTAATCCTGAGTGAAGTTTGCAATTCTGATTTACTGTTCTACAGCAGAAGAAAGGGTAGATTCTTACCTGTTCAGTGCAAATGCATAATGAAACCTCACATGGTGGTGGGAAGCCAAGTCAAAAGTAGGCAGTTTTTCTAAAGTTTTCACCAGTTTCACAATGGAATCATAATCCTTCCAAAAGAAGGGAATAATGAAGTTTTAGGTGGCTGTAATGAGGTATGTCTATACAAACTCCTCTTTGAACTAAGCACCTGGTATTTCATACTAAATATTTTCATTTAGTTCTAAGTTTCATGGATTTCAGTTTCTTCAAACTGTAAACAGCCTGGCACTCATGAGAAATGTGAATATGCACAGTATTTAGCACAGAAATACAATTTGGTTTCCTGTACCGCTTCAGTGTAGACCTGTGGAAATTTTACTACATCTATTTCATGACTGAAGTCATGTTCAGGGGCTGAACACGTATCAGAGTTCATATTGGACAGACATTACAATGCTAACTGCATCTGAATTAAGGCATCCCAAAACTCTCAAGTAGGCATGATCTACAAAACCAAATACAAGAATGTTTCAATACCACAGTTTTTAAAGTAGCTTACTCCCTGACATATTTAAAAAAAAAAACAAAAAAAACCCAAACCAAACAAAAACCACAAAAACAAACCGCTTCAAAATGTTTAAGGAGGAGTTGGAATTATGGAATTGGAATTATGTATAACAAAGTAAGCAATTCCTAGCACAGTTCCAGAAGCTAAAATGCATATGAACATGTTACATTTCCATGAGAAATGTCACAAGTATGATAACAAAAGAGACTAAGTAGGACACACTATGGACTGTTCATCACGTAGTAATGCTGAGATGAAGAAGAATTATTATATGTTGTGTACTTTTTAGGTGCTGTTATAAAATACCAACAATTTTCTGCTATGTAAAAGCACACTATAAACAGCATAACTACAAAATAAAGCAAAAAGCATCCATGAAGATACTGTAGAAGATTTTCACTAGTGTGCACTGTTCATATAGTTTGTTAGCAAATCTGTGCAAAATACATTAAAAATTTCACTGAGAAAGTAATTTAATTTACTATGGTTTAGATTATCTTTGAGCATAGGATTCATACCTGGATGTCTCTGTAGGACAGCAGCAAGTTTATTACAATGTCAGCAGACAAGACTTCAACACTATCCACTCGCTGTCGAATCCTTGCCAGCTCTGCTGCAAGCTCTTTACCCGTGTAGAGGGTACGAGCCTTCCTGATGTCATTCAGAATGGATTCCCGGAAATACTGGCTGGAGAGGAACAACTTCATGTCAGCAGTTTGGGACGGGTCCCTTCCATTTGTTTTTCTAGCCCTGCAGCTATCCCACAACGGGAAACATTTATCCCATGACATTTATCTCTCCGTGGGACATTTACTGATAGAGCAGTGTCAATGGAGAGATTTGGTCAATTTAAGATATTAATTATCAATTTGTCTCAATAGAAGGCAAAGCCTCACATCACCCTGAAGCAAGTGGCTGATATTTATATTGCCAGCAAGAATATACAAGTTTTACCCAGGAGTTAAAAAGACAACTCACCTTGAACTGGCCTGTGCCACCTTCAAGAGCTGAACAAATCGATCCACCAGAGGTAAGCATATAGGCCCAAGCAACGACTCAAAACTGGGCTGCATCAGTTCTGTCAGCCCCTTCATAAAACTGCTATCACAGCAGTACACCTTGTTATGTGGAGTTATCATATAAGGAACAAATATGTAGTTACCAGTGCACATCTGTAGGGAAACAAGGTGCAATATTTAGGGCAATTATGGTTTGACAAGCCTAAATATAAAACAACTACATATACTACCTGCAGAATTTCACCTATTAAAGGCAAAGGGAGATCTGCTGCTTACTTCAGCAAGACCAAGATTTGACCTATGAAGCCTGGGATTACATAAATTCAATTTTCATGTCAAATATGATATACACCTAAAATGTACTCTTTCAGATTTCTGAACTGCTTCCTGTAAGATGAGTCTTTTTTAGAAGCATCACATTTACCTTAAAATAGTCACCACCTCAGCTCAATAGCAAAACAATTCTGAGGACACACCCTAGTCACCCTGAAACAGCAGGCAGGCTCAAATGAAGCTGATGTACACTCTTTTCAAGGTGACTGATGTTCAGAAGAGAGCAAGCACTCTGTAATTTAGTATAGTTAGGCTCACAGAGGTAGAAAACAATAACACAAGTTAGTTGCCTCACAACAGGAAAACTGTAGAGAAAACTAATCCTCATTTCAACTTCAGAATTACTCAAGTAGTTTAACATAACAAAGACAAATTAAATTCCTTGCTATGTAGCAAACCTTCCCGACCAGCTGGACTTAAAACTATACATATTTCAGAATAATCACTTACAGAATGTCTTAACACTGCCAAACGGTATTGATTTTTATGTATCAATGTATGACAGACACTTTGCAAAAAAAATTAAAAAAAAAAAAAAAATCATTTAAGATTCTCTTCCAGGAAAGAGGGAGGCAAGTGGTGGTCCGTGTGTGAGTACAGACTTGAATATGTAGGAAGCTTGCTGAGTATTTGTGGTTCTGAAGGGTCTTAACTATGAGACAGCACTCTACCAAAATCAGGAGGAGTTCTGCCATTTGGCTCTTGAAGCTCAGACTCCACTACCAAAGTGGCCAGCAGCCCAGCAAGAAAAGCCTTAAGGAAGCAATTCTTGAGACTTATAATTTTGGTACACTAAATTACTTCCAAAGTTAATTACTTTCTGGTCAGCTGCTTCTGCTCTCCCAGAAGTCAATACAGCGACAAAGACATCACTTCAGAGACTCTCCTGGTACTCTGAGCTCCATGCACTGAGAGAGCAGCGACTGAACAGTTTTCAAATGCACAATACCAGCTATGTGCTTAAAACATGCATTTTAACATGCATTATTAGATCTTAAAATCATGGAAGGACTGAGGCACTCTAGTCTGTATAAATTTATGTGTACAGATAGGCCAGTAAACATTGTGTACAGATCAGTGAAGAGCACAAGAATTACTTTGTTTAATTACATCTATTATACTATGAAACTGCAAGATCTCACTATAAAGGCAATCCCATCCCCACTTCTGAGGGATATTGACAAACTCTGTAAAACTTAAAATTGATGCAGGCATTTACATGAGGTCCATTGAATTCAACTGACCCAGAACTTGGTTGGAGATTACTACATACACAGACTTGCACAAGGATTGATTTAGTCGTCCTCCTCCCCAACAACTGCCAACTCTTACGGTTGAATAGCTAGGACACATTTTTCTGTGCATGAGTGTAGCAATTCCAAAGGAAACTTGAGGACGTGGAAGTGTATGACAATATTTTTAAGAAGCAATTGAGTGTGCTGCTAGAACGCAAACTGCTTGTCTTTACAATGGAGGACAAGATGAGCTCCAGAGGTCCCTTCCAACCCCTACCATTCTGTGATTCTGTGAATGGACACTTCTGCTCAAGAATATGCTAGCACGTAAGGCATTCACACACTTTCAAGAGTGAATGGATGAACCTTTGACCCTGCTAAAACCTAATAAACCACACAGTCAAATGCAGACAGGAAATTACGAATTTGCTGGAACTAGTTTCAGCAATTACAGGACAAGGGTGGGCAAAGACTGGCAAAGGAGCCACTATTAAGCATAGGCAGACTATTCTCCAACTTTCCTTTTTTAAATAAAGGAGAAAAAGTTCAGGAAGTCAGAGCCAAGAAAAAGGGTGAAGTAGCTACAGATATCCTGGGGCAAGTATTTCACTTCCTAATGTTTATTCAGTGCATTAAAAATAAATTTAAGACTGCTTGCAGGAAGGCCTTGGCAGACCTCTGGCACACTGTTTCTAAAGCTCAGATCTTAATTAAAAATCAACTCTGAAAAGGGATGTTTAAAGCTTTATGAAATCCACAGAACACAAAGTTTATCCTGGCATAACGGTCAGGCCACCTACACAGCCAGTACTGGAGTTTTCATAGATAATTCTACAAGCAGAAAAACTACTCTTCATGCAGAGACCAAGTGCCTGAGTCCACTACTGAGCAAGAGCTCTTATAAACTGATCCTGAGTCCACCTTCTGTAGGAAGTAGGTATCTATTTCAGTGTAACAAGAGAGTCAGCAAATATTAGTTTACACGCACTTTTCCTGTTACCTGAGGGGAAAAATAAGCTGGTTATATTGTAAGTCTGCTACAGAAGACACCATAAACCCAGTAGCCTTTGGGAGCAGAGTACAAGGAAGACCTTAACAGTAAAGACCAAAGAAACCACCATGTGGGAAGAAAACAGAAGAAAATAAAATCAATGCACAGTTGTTCAGAGGGCCTCCAGGGTCTTCAGGGAATAATCTCAGGACAGAATCTCACCTTGATCCTTGGTAGCAAGTAGCATGGGAACACAGTGGCCTTTCCCTCAGCCAGGGCATTAATTTGGTTGTTAACTTAACCTAGACAGTTATGTTTTGTGGGATGCTCTGCATCTCTGAAACCTCTCAAATTTGTCTGAAATTCATCAGACAGACAAAACAGGCAGATACAGAAAGAGGGTGGAGGATGAAAAGAACAGTACAAGCTCTTAAGTTTCACTTCCTTAGGAAATAGGCTTTTTTAAAAAAAACTCCACATGCAGTAAAGAAAGAAATATAAGAAATATTTATCTCAATTTCACTTTTCACTTTTCTAGCTAAAGAGTACATTAGATATTTTAACAGCTGAACCTGACAAAGGTAGACATGCAGTAGCTCTGGTGGCAAAAGGAAAAAAAAATACCAAAAGTTATATATTATTTGCTAAGGGTGGAGGTGGAACAAAAATAACAATAATGGCAAGACTGCTCTTGTAGAATATAATCTATGGTCTCCCACTATGGAGAAACATATTTTGCCACCATCACAAATCTAACTACAAAGAGCCCAACGCCAACTGCATTTGAGCAATGATTGGGATGGGAGAACAAGAGGACCAGGCAGTGAGGACAGACTTAGCCAAGGAGCTGCTCCAGTGTCCGACAGCTCTAAGCCTTCTACCCCAAAGCAGAGTATGGCACACTTCTTTCCTCATTCCCAGGCTATGCCACTTCAGTCTCAGCTGCTTTTACTTCCTTCTACCTTTTACTTCCTTTACTTCCTTCTCACCTTTCTTTGTCAAAAAAGAAGTTGCACTAACTTAAGTCACAAGGGATCGGGCGGTCTTTGACACACGCTTCTTATCTGCCCACACATTGCTTTGCATTTTGACTTAGTGCATGTTATGCCACTTGGAAGTTTAAATATATTCCACTTATCCTATTATAAGTCTGCCCTGTAACACTCCATCCCAACTCTGATCTCAAACTCTGATATTCCTTCCCAACCCTAATTAACTTAACTTTAGAATCTAAGTTTGCTGAGCACCCAAGACAAAATTGTTGTTTTCCTTTGACCCATTCCTCTGACTTGCCATACCATGTACAATGAAAGTAATAGAATCAAGGCATACAAGAAAACGGGCAGGTTTTGGAGAAGTAACACCTTAAATCCAATTGCAATATTCTCAGTTATGACAACACCCTTTAAAAAACATGAGTAGTGTAAAGGGGCTTCAAAAGTGGGCAGGAATAGACCTCCCCAATCAACAACAGATGCACTAAGTTTCATTTCCCAGCTTTCTTTATAAATCACTTATTATTTAAGGTTCAAAAGTTCAAATTACACTAATGAAAGTTACAAAGTGATTGCAGCTCACCCGAGTTGTAAGTTAAAAGGCATTACTGGAAACATCAAGGGCTGGGGGACAGACCATGAGTGTGCACACAGACAGTTACTATGGTTCAGCCTAATGCACAAGAGCTCAGGACATTAGATAAGGTAAACTTGGCCTGAGCCCTCAGATCAGCTGAACTAGTTATATCTAGGAGATACAAACATACATATCTTTGAAGGCTTTGGGCCAGCACACTCAGTACCTGGCAACATCAGACCACCTTCTGAAAGACTATCTGTGTTATAGCCCATTTCATCAAATCAGTCAGACTAATCAGAAGCAGAAGTACCAGCTGGAGCCAGCTACACATGCAGAAATGCTTACCACAAAGTGGCAAGATCTGTAATTAATTTTTGCAAATGTTTTAATTGGTTTATATTTTTCTAATGTCCCTTCCTAACTTACTGTGCAAAATTAAACAATTGCAGAGCGTCTGTAATTTCAGTTTAAATACAGCCATAAGATTGTCTTGATAGCTCTACAGTTATGGAATTTAAGACTATGCTGCTCCTAGCTGTATCTCTGGGTCACTGGAACATTAAGAACTTCCTTCGTGTTTGATATCCTTTCTCAGCTTCTGAAAATAAATTAATATAGCAACTATTTACATTTAAGAGATAACAAAAATGCATATAGTTACATCTTGATCACAATAAGAATATAAACCAGGCCTTCTTTCAATGTCTCTCTCTGATACAGAACTGTTGCTTGTGACAGGGGTAGCTTTTTGCAAATTCAATTTGAAGACCACGTCTTATTAAGAAAAAACATCATGCAATAAGGTAAACATTCTCTCCCCCACAAATACATTTGACATAGTACAGAAGATTTTTCTCTGGAAGTTGTACAGAATAAGAAGACACAGTGCTATACAAACGAGCATCTGAGTTCTGACCAATTAATTATCAAATCTTAAATTTTACTTCAAAAGGAGGGAGAAAATCTGAAAAATCCCAGGGAATCAATGGTGTACAGTCCTCTTGATTCCCTGCTCTGTT